ATTTAATACACAAGTTTCACTTGAGTTGAATTGCTGAAAAAAAATTTCTTTTCCATGACATTCTTATTTATTGAGATGCACCTGTGTGTATATATATATATATATGTATATATATATTTTTTTATAATCTATTATATTTTGAATTATGTTTTCAAAAAAGACGGAGCAGAGTTTGACATCAGTTTGCGAAGGTGCAGCATCCATAAAAATTTCAGGTGCTCAAAGTCTAGTGTGACCATGGCTTTAGTCAACCAGTATAACAAGCATGCATGGTCTCAGGACTTTGTCCCATTTTCCTTGTACAGGAAAGTGTCTCTTGTGTCCACTGTCATTAATAGGGAACATTTGTCAAATGACCCAGTCAGAGAGCGGCTGTCACAGTACAGGTGTACCTTTGAACAGGCTGCTCTCTGGACTGGGTTGGGTCACTTAATGACTGTTTGTGCTGTCCGCACACACAATTTAACTAAGGCATATTTGTTTGCACATTAGTAGTAATGAGTAGGTGAATCAGTCTCAGGTCAGATGCTGATAAATCACTCATCAGCTTCTCAATGAAGTCTCAGCTAAGGTTTTTCTATCCACTGTACATGCAAGATATAAAATGTTTCAGTATGTTCAAGGCCATAGAGTTGTTCTGTACGCATGATTGTTTCATGATCAGCTTTTTGTTTTTCTGCGCAGCTGAAAACGTGAAGAAAGTAGCTCTTGGTCAGTTGCTCAGGGGTGCATGTCCAGGTCATATTTCAATCCAAAATCCAATTTAAATAAATAAGAAATTATGTTGCTTCTTGTAAATTAAATGTGTAATTTCTGCTATTCAAATGGAATTGCAAAAATAACATCTGTTTTGAACAGATTTCCCAAACACAAATACTGTAGATAGTCCCACCCCTAAGCCCACGTCATTAGTTGATCCTTTGGAGGTTTTCCACGTTAAAATTTTAACCCTACGTTCCAAATGCCAGTTACCATATTTTTAATTAATACAATACTGTAGCTACTGCCCTCATACAAAAAAAGATTGAGTAAGCTTATATCGTCTAAAAGAGATCACAATTAAGTTTTGTTTTACGGTAGTAAAAAAATATTGTAGTAACTTTTGCGTCTTGGTGGAAACCATGGTAAAACCTGCTCTTTGTTGCTGCAAATTCCTATATAAATCATAAAGTAAAACGCATTAGATTTATAGCCTATGTTTTTCTGTTATTTACTGGCAAGATTCCATTTCCATGTTGTGTGATATATGCCTTCTTTCCATTTCCATTTCTCTCAATCTTTTTTTTTCTTTCTCATTTTGTTTCCCTGGTTATTGTTGGCCTTAGGGATGTGGAGTATGTCTTATTTCTTAATTTCCATATTTCTGTCAAATCTCATGCCTGGCTTGCTCCATACGGCCTCCCGGCAGGACTGCTGGATCCATCTCCCTATTGTCGTCGTCTTCTACATTTCCTCGTGTCGCCATGGCCACTAAATCCTGGATGGAGTAATGAAATTCCAGGAACTGTATTTTTATCAAGTTAGCGCATGGGTGCACTATGCTAACAAACACTCTTGTGTTGTGGTTTTGCTTTCTGCGAGAGTGTGAACACACCAGCACATTTAACCTTCTTGTTCATTATCTATCAACAGTATTTTGCAGGTCATCGCAGCTGGTGCTTTGCAAGTGTGACTTTCACAGCTGAAACAAGTTTTGTGTGTGTGTGTGTGTGTGTGTGTGTGTGTGTGTGTGTGTGTGTGTGTGTGTGTGTGTGTGTGTGTGAGAGAGAGAGTGTGTTCCCTTCAGCCCACTTTAATGCGCACAGGTGCTTTGTAAACTATGTTTTCCGACAATATGACGTCAGTGTTGGGGAAGCTACTTTGAAACTACTTTGTCAAACTAAAACCACTCATTTAAGTAGTCTATCCACAGTGTCTAGTGGATATCTATCTAGACATCTAGACATTAATTCATCATATTAAAATGTCGTTTAACATTTAGAGACAGCATTATAATTTAAGTACACAATTTTACACAAAATAAAAATAAAACTAATATCACTGAAAATGTGATAAACAGTATTTAAAAACATTTATTTAGCTATGAAAAGGTGAAATGTTGCTCAGAGGCTTTTGGGCAAACTATTAGCAGTTTGTAAAATGTGCGCTCACGTTGGCGAAATGTTGTAGGCTAAAAAGGTCTGTTTGTTGTCAATAGTAGTGGTTCAACGGATCACAAATCTCACGGTTCGGATCACATTACGGAATCCTACCCAATACCTAAACTTAATAACTACCTACTAACTATTAATAAGCAGCAAATTAGGAATTTATTGAGAGAAAAGTCATAGTTAATAGTGAATAAGTGTTCCCTATTCTAAAGTGTTACCAAAATTAGCTTGTTAACTATTGTAACACTATTATTAGCATATGGGAGTGAAAATCTTAATACATTTCATGATCCTGCTTCAGAATCACAATAACAGATCGTTTAGAGTTTAGAGTTGATGTAATGAATGACTTGTGGTTCATTTCCAAGATTCACTCCATCTGGTTCAGTCAGTTAATGAGCCGTTAGACCAATTCAAGGCCATAACTTATGAGTTCAAGAAAAGCTTTTTCAGTCTTTTGCATTAAATGGTATCCTAACCCTAGTAGCATCACTACTTACAGCTAATTACTCCCCAACACTGATCATATTTATTTATCTGTATGAACATGTAACTGTATATCTGTGTTCAGTCTCTTTTAACACATGAATTCATTATTCCTCCAGGCATCGAGATGTCCTGCATTGTTTTGTTTTTTTGTTTTTTTTTTAGGATAAAATTGTTTTGTTGCGTTTATGGTGACAGTTATTAATTTATGCTCTTTCGGCTCTTTCTGTGTCCATCTAACCAATAAACCCCGTCATTCTCTCCTCTGCCATCGTTTTACTTCTCCATCCATCCCTATGGACCCCCTCCCCCCTTTCTGTGCACCCCTCCCTCTCTGCAGGACTTCTGGCAGGTATGGGGCGTGTGCCAAGCTGCATGGGACTGCGTGTGCGTGAATGCGTCATTTAGCAGCTCTACTGAAAATTTCACTAGACCTCTTAATCCTTCTCTCTCTCTCTCTCTCTCTCTCTCTATCCTTCTTCTCGAGTTGTCAGAGAGGAAATCCACATAAGTTCCCAGATGTGGAGCTCTGGCCAAACAATGCATTAAAAGCCTCTACATTTCATTAAAAATCACTGGCTGAGTAATAAAACTCGGCCAGCCCGGGCCAGATGAGCGGAAGAGCTTTAGCTCAGCAGAAAAGAGATATTTGAATAGTATGACTACAGCAAAGGAGGAGTGAATTTACTGACGGTGCATTTTCCAGGAGAGCAGAGTGGAGAGGCTGACTGGAGCGAATATTAGGCTGGATCATATAGCATATGGCAGGATGATAGTTGTAGCATCAGGGGTGTTTTCTGTTGCATCCAGCGTCCAAAAAGAAAAGACTATCAGTGGCGAGTGAATTGTGAAATATTCTGGCCATAAATATTTCTTACTGGCCATGAAATTGTTTTGTATAATTTTTGCTAAAAAATATATTTTTGTCCATACCGGTTTAGTAAGATTTTCTAAGAATTCATTTCATAAGAAGTCGCTTACTCACCAAGGCTGTGACAGTAATATTGTGAAATATTATTATGATTTAAAAGAACTGTTTTCTGTTTGAATATATTTAAAAATGTAATTTATTCCTGTGATGCAAAGCTGAATTTTCAGAATCATTACTCCAGTCTTCAATGTCACATGATCCTTCAGAAATCATTCGAATGTGCTGACTTTGATGCTCAAGAAACATTTCTTATTATTATCAATGCTGAAAAAATATATATAGGATTAAATAGGATTCTTTTATGAATAGAAAGTTCAAAAGAAGAGCATATATTTGAAAAGTCTTCACTTTTGATCAATTTAATGCATTCTTGCGGAGTAAAAATATTAATTTCTTAAATAAAAAAATTATAATAGCAAAAAAAATTTAATGACACCAAACTTTTGAATGGTAGTATATATATATATATATAGCAATTTTTCTTAGCATTTTATAACAACTGTTTAAAAAAAGTTTTTTGTTTTGTTTTGTTTGCTTTTTAACTTCAGTAGATACCTGCATGTCTTGAAATTAACTATGTTCATTATAACAAGGCGTACTTCTTGTACATTAAGTTTATTCAGCTAGCTATAAATAAAAAGGTCTTGGTGAGAGGACATGTTTGCACAGGCTTGCAGCTGTGTGTCATTTATGTGGTTCTTATGGCACCAAAGAAAGTTGCAAAATACATAAATGATCTAAAGAAACTGTAAGTGGGGTTACCAGGATGTTGCTATATGTGGGTATTCTGGCCAGTTGCTTTGTGGCCACTTACTAGCCAAAGTCAAAAGAGCCCATCTCCAAGTCTCTATGATATTATTCTGATCTCTAGATAAGGCTCAGGTCAATCCTTCATTGTAAGTCTATGGGATTTGTATGCCTTTTTATCATCAGCCAGGCAAAAACTATAAATCAGAGTGCTCCTCACAAAGCTGCATAATTTGAGAAATCGTTCATGTCCATAACATAAACAGTTGCACACCAAAGTTTAATATTTAGGTCAGGGAGTTTTATGTTTGCTTAGCAAACACTGCTAATGACTGTTTCAAAATAGCTTCTGCCATTGTTAGATCAAACAGGTAGTTCCAGCCCAAACTCACGCCATTGGTTGAGCCAGAAGTTGACATGTCAAACCACCCCATCAAACAGTGTTTACACACAGTCAATGACTTAAAGTATCTGCATATTGAACTGCTGTTTTAACATTGACATTAACATTGACTTCACCTTTAAGGCTTTGTGTTATTGGAAAGTGGGTGGGCACACCCAGACACACATACTGCATGTTTAGACCCATCTAGACAGGAAAACACACATACAGTGGGTACGGAAAGTATTCAGACCCCCTTACATTTTTCACTTTGTGTTATATTGCAGCCATTTGCTAAAATCATTTAAGTTAATTTTTTTTTCCTCATTAATGTACACACAGCACCCCATATTGACAGAACATTTTTTGTTTCTGACGAGAATGAAAAGCGAATATGAAATTGAATATGGCGTCCACCCTGTTGTTAGACCACTGAAAAAAAAAAGATTTTTCGAAGTTGTAAATAAAACGGAGTATTGATATTTTGCAAGAAAATGCTATTTCAGTCTTTACACTGCAAAGTTTAATTTAATCGGTTACTTGACATTTCTGACTCCACAAACACTCTCAAAGAATTTTTTTTTACAGAGTCAACACTAAAACCATCCTAGAGTTTTTACCTAAAGCAAACTTTAAAACCCTGATATAGTTATTTATTTATTTAGAGTTTAAATCACTCTTTTATATTATTTCAACTTGTTACTCGCGATGAAAATAGCCAAAGAAGCTGGAGTGGCATTAAAACACCAACTAATAAACCAACTTGACAATTGTCTGTAATTATGTGAAATGTACTTGCAATTTCTGAGTGAAAATTGGTTCAAAGTGAACCCTACACCAATAATAGCATCTAATAAGTCGACTATATCATGTTACCATAATCAATAACAATACCAGTAAATAAAAGAGTTTACAGTGAAACTGTATATTACAGCAAAAATAATAAACATTCCTTAATTTTAAAAATTGCTTATTATGATATTAACAAATTAAATTAGACTAGCATGGAGCATTTAAATATTTCTCATTTAAGTAAACACTGCTTGAAGTTCTTCAAATAATTAATAATTACATAAACAATTAATAATAAAATAGAACTAAGACACTGAAAAGCAGTTGAGAAAATAAAAACAATACAAAAAAATTAACAAATTAGTAAGTATTATTGAAGTAAAAAAAAAATCAGTTTACAATAGAAATAAAACTACTGAACAAAGATACATATTAGGTGAACTGTTAAAGTAAAAAGTTCTTTAAGTATAAACTATATACGCAAAGCTACTAAATTCGACTAAATCATATTATAAAATTGACTGAATTATATTTAACTTGGGTCCCACTTTATTTTAAGCTGTCCTTATTACAGTGCAGTTACACAAATAAGTACCGAGTCATATTAATTGATTAAATGTACTTGTAGGGTCTGTTGCTTTATGCATAATTTACTTGTATTACTCTAATATGCACATATAGCAAAGACACTTTAAAATAAAGTGTTACCTTAAATTATATTCCTAGTCAAATGTTTAATAAAAGTATTTAAATTATAGTTATGAAAGCAGCGATCTGACAGCACAGAACATTCGCACATGCATGTATTTGGCTATAATGATCTGGTGTTTACAATTTATAAACTAGCTGTTTATAGTTACTAGCCTAACTACTAATTTTTGTTACACCAGTGTTTTCTTGGCAGCTGACTTAACCATTGAATATTCAGCACTCTGGTATTGAATAGAGTTGGTAATCGGTACTATAGACAGTAGTATTTATTAGGTTTTATATATATATGTATTTGGCTATAATGATCTGGTGTTTACAATTTATAAACTAGCTGTTTATAGTTACTAGCCTAACTACTAATTTTTGTTACACCAGTGTTTTCTTGGCAGCTGACTTAACCATTGAATATTCAGCACTCTGGTATTGAATAGAGTTGGTAATCGGTACTATAGACAGTAGTATTTATTAGGTTTTATATATATATATATATATATATATATATATATATATATATATATATATACATACACAGTGGGTATGGAAAGTATTCAGACCCCCATAAATTGTTCACTCTTTGTTATATTGCAGCCATTTGCTAAAATCATTTAAGTTAATTTTTTTTCCTCATTAATGTACACACAGCACCCCATATTGACAGAAAAACACAGAATTGTTGACATTTTTGCAGATTTATTAAAAAAGAAAAACTGAAATATCACATGGTCCTAAGTATTCAGACCCTTTGCTGTGACACTCATATATTTAACTCAGGTCCTGTCCATTTCTTCTGATCATCCTTGAGATGGTTCTACACCTTAATTTGAGTCCAGCTGTGTTTGATTATACTGATTGGACTTGATTAGCAAAGCCACACACCTGTCTATATAAGACCTCACAGCTCACAGTGCATGTCAGAGCCAGAACCCTTCCTAGAGCTGGCCGTCCGGCCAAACTGAGCTATCGGGGGGGAAGAGCCTTGGTGAGAGAGGTAAAGAAGAACCCAAAGATCACTGTGGCTGAGCTCCAGAGATGCAGTTGGGAGATGGGAGAAAGTTGTAGAAAGTCAACCATCACTGCAGCCCTCCACCAGTCGGGGCTTTATGGCAGAGTGGCCCGATGGAAGCCTCTCCTCAGTGCAAGACACATGAAAGCCTGCATGGAGTTTGCTAAAAAACACCTGAATAAGATTCTCTGGTCTGATGAGACCCAGATAGAACTTTTTGGCCTTAATTCTAAGCGGTATGTGTGGAGAAAACCAGGCACTGCTCATCACCTGTCCAATACAGTCCCAACAGTGAAGCATGGTGGTGGCAGCATCATGCTGTGGGGGTGTTTTTCAGCTGCAGGGACAGGACGACTGGTTGCAATTGAGGGAAAGATGAATGCGGCCAAGTACAGGGATATCCTGGATGAAAACCTTCTCCAGAGTGCTCAGGACCTCAGACTGGGCCGAAGGTTTACCTTCCAACAAGACAATGACCCTAAGCACACAGCTAAAATAACGAAGGAGTGGCTTCCCAACAACTCTGTGACTGTTCTTGAATGGCCCAGCCAGAGCCCTGGCTTAAACCCAATTGAGCATCTCTGGAGAGACCTAAAAATGGCTGTTCACCAACGTTTACCATCCAACCTGACCGAACTGGAGAGGATCTGCAAGGAGGGATGGCAGAGGATCCCCAAATCCAGGTGTGCAAAACTTGTTGCATCTTTCCCAAAAAGACTCATGGCTGTATTAGATCAAAAGGGTGCTTCTACTAAATACTGAGCAAAGGGTCTGAATACTTAGGAC